TTATTATGTTATGTTAATCACCATACATTACATCATTAGTTTTTGATGTAAGAGGGGTTCTGATTCCTGTCCCCTCCTCATGGCCTCTTCAGGGTCATCTCAAGGACTTGGGCACAGCCAAGGCACAGAGGAGACTTCTGATCACAGGTGGTCCACACTGGGTCCTGCAGCCTCCTAGATCCTCTGTACTGTGCTCTGAGGAGGCCGGGAGCTCCACAGAATCTCCTCCCAGTGTGGGCTACCTTCTCCCCGGGCAGCGGAGCTGAGGCGGCTCTGCCTTTGGGTCCCAGCCTCTCCTCTCATTCAGGGCCAGGGGATGGTCGGTTTCATCTGAAGGAAGCCCCTGCCTCCTCTACCTCCTGAGCCCCCTACCTCTTCCCTCTAGACCAGACTTGTGATACTGGAAAATGAAAGCCAGGAGGTGTCCACAACCACGTCTACTTTCTGCCCTGCCACAAGCCCCCTCTAAGGTACCACAAGCACTACTTGCCCTAGGAGGGGAAGGAGAAAGGAGAGAACCCAGAAGATAACATCACAGTCCTTCAGCCACCACACATGGAGGGCCCGCTGCAAGGTAATTTGGATTCTTTTCTTAGTGATAAGTTTCAAGAGTGTCGCTTGGTGGGCAAGAGTTGAAGTAACTGTGGCCAGAGATGGGGCAGGGATCTGGGTCTTGGACAGGCAGAACTCGGCCTGAGAGGTCAAGTCCAACCAGACAGTGGTTGGTCTCAGGGGACAGTGCAGGGCCCAGGTTCCCTCTGAGCCACCCAGGCGGCCCTGTCCAAATCATTTCTCTCACTATACTGGCGTTTCGTTGTTTGAGGTTTTCTTTTTTAAAATTTCATTTGTTCAATTTATCAAAATGTGTTAATTCAATAAAATATTATTTTTAAATATGACAAAAATAAAACCCTTTCTGGCATATCGTTCTAAGACTGATACATAGAGTCATGAAACCATCACCACAACTGAGCTACAGATCAGTCCCCTTTCCACCAAATTCCTTTGTGCTGTTAATCTCTCCCCAGTCCTCACCTGGAAACCACGGATCCGTTCTCGGTTCTTATCATTTTTTGCCTCCTGAGGATTCCTTTTTAAACATGAAGAAAATATCACAGATATAACATGATAGTGTTTTGAGTTTCCAAAAAACAGTGATCAAAAGCTATCCTGGATTCGGGTATGCTTTAGAATGAGTTTGCATTAATCAGTTACTGCACCATCGACATCCTTTTGAAAAACAGCACTATTTGTGTGTGTGAGGCATTGCTCTGGGTTATTCCTGGGACACTTATTGACCCACAATCTCCCTGCAATAATTTACAACCTACAGGTTGGCAACCACAGTGGTTCTGTCAAACCAAGGGAGACTCGCAGGCTTCAAAGAAAGCAAGGACAGACCTGGGATCCTCCTGCCATCCTGGCAAGCTGGTCTGACAAAGCTGGAGCAGCTTTGACATCCCAGTGTGTGCCCTCAGTCCCAGTACCAACAGCAGAGAGTGAAGAGAGAGATTAAAAGATCTTCACTGGTTTGATTTTGTCTTTTCAGATCAAACATTGCTCCGTTTTGCACAAGGAATATTAAAAACAAATGATATGTCAAGTTGGTGAGGGAACCAATCTTACTGGAAGTTCTTTGTGTTTATCTTAGTGTTAAAATGGATGAGAGCTTTTTGAAAAGAATGTGCTCTGGAAGAAGAATTCATATACTTGTCCAGTGAAGGGATCCTCGTGCTGTGATCACATCTTCCATGGCGGTGGTGCTGGGCATCGGGACGTGGGTCAATCTGCAAGGTCCAGCTGGTGCTGGCTGTCTGGTGGGATGATAGTGGGCAGCCTTCTCGAGACAGCTTGGCTAGCCCTTGTATTGGCAGATCCTCCTCTGGCTGGCAGAAGCAGAGAACATATTTTAAAAAGAAGAAAGGGGAGTTTGCATTTCTGATTTGTCATTAGATCAAAGATAAAGCACAGTATGTGACTCCAGAATGCCACCACCTCACTTGCTTCTTTGTAGTCTGATCTTCCAGGACCCGTCTGTCACTCCCTGTCTCTGTCTCTCTCACAGACACAGCTTCCTGACGATTTCTGCCTTCATCACAGTCCCGCTGACGGGTCATTCCTGTCCCCTAGTCCCTTGCCACTAGGAGGACACGTTATTAAAAACAGATCCATGGATTCTGCTCTAGAGATTTTGAGTCAATCAACTAGTCCGGAATTTGCATTTATTAAGCAACCAGGTAGTTCTGATTTAGACGGGTCACACATTACACAGACCTCTAGTTAAACATTTTAGAGATGTTTCTGATTGTTCATGGGTTGGCACATTTCTATGCCGCATCCATTTAAACGGGCTGATGACTCAAAGAAAAAAATGCAAGTCCTGTTTTACCATGTGGTTTGGGCACACTGGGTTATAGGCATGTCCCACTTAATGCAAAACCAAAGCACAAAAACCTAAGTCTACCAAACAAACACACAGAATTATTATTTGTTTGTAAACTATAACTGTACTTGTCCTTGGGCCTTGCCGGCCCCCCAAGTCTTGATCTCTGCCCCAAGCAAAGGTCACTGTGAGTAAGGGCGGGGGGTGGGGCAGAAGGTGGCAAAAGGCAGAGGGTCCATCCATATTCCCCGCTTGTGCTCTGGGGTGTCCGGGACAGAAATGACCTGGGGCTAGGCTGGCTTGAAGACCCCCAACTCCCGCACACCTGTCTCTTTTGCTCTCCCAGCAAGTTTCCTTCGGGTCCAGGGCTTGGCCCACCTGGGCTGGGATAAGTTGATCCCGCTGCACGCGACCCAGCCTGCCCAATCAGATGTCTTCACCCCTCTCCTTCCCCCCGCCCAGCCACAGGGATTGGTTCAGCCGTGAGCCAATAGGAAGTTCCTGGAACCTCACTGGAATTGCAGGGAGAGGCGCCTCCACCCCCCGCCCCCATCCTGGTTGTGGGAAAGTGTTTCTTCGCACCTGGGAGCCCACCTAGATTCAGCCACTGCAAAGCTTCCCAGCCCAGAGGTGCAGGAAGGAGGCAGGTTCCCAAAGTAAGGACAGATCTCTCACGGCCTGTAGTTCCCGTCCATTCCCTCCTCTGTTTAGACGGGTGAAGGTTGGGTGAGCATGGTCAGCGTGCTGATGGATGATGCATAAAGCAAGCCTTGAGTTTGTGCCTGGTTCTTTGCCACTTCCATCGGTAATGCCTCAGTGTCCTGGGATAGACAGGGGCACGACTCACATTCCCACTGGAGAAATCGGGGTTTCTCTCTTTGACTATACTTACATCATCAACAATAAAATACTTTAGTTTTGAAACAATCGCAAAGTTAAACAAAAATTGCAAGAATAGTACAAAGAAAGACCTTCCCTCCCAAATCCTTTAAGATTAAATTGTCTGTATGATGATCCACCATTCCCAAAGCTTAGTGTGTAATTGTGTAAGTCCTACAAATAAGGACATTCTCCTCTGTAACCACAAAACAACTATCATCAGTATCAGGGAATTATCACGGACACATTAATAACTTCTAGTCCTCAGGCCCCATTTAAATTTTTCCACTTGTCCCAGTAATGTCCTTTAGAGCAAAAGGATCCGGTTCAGAATCAACATGTTGCATTCTGTTGTCATGTGTCCTTCAATCTGGAGTAGTTCTTCAGTCTTTGCTGACTCTCATGACCTTGACATTTCTGAAGATTACAGATTAGGAATCTTTGTCTGGTGTTGCTTCCTACCAGGACCAGGTTGTGCATCTTGGGCAGGAATATCACAGAAGTGAGGCTGTGTTCATGCATGGTATCCTTCAGGGTGACACCATAGGCTAAACACTCATTATGTTGATCCTGGCTCTGCAGCACCAGCAGATGGTCATTTACATGGAAGGTTATAGATGCCCATCATGGAGGAGCAGAGAGGTGGAGAATTCTAGCATGACCAATGAGATTTGCTCCCAGGGACTTTTGGGAACAGGGCAGGGATGAGGGGTCCTGATTCCCAGAGGCAGAAGAGTCATAGTACTTGCTCCAGACTTCCATTTATGACTTTGTTATTGACTTGCTGTCACTTGCTGTGACTCTGGGCCCAATTTCCCTGTGCTAGTCTCCATTCCTTTGTCATAAAATGAAGATGACACAGTCTGTCCTCTCCACTTTGCAGGCTGGTGTGTGAGTTACACATATGAACAGGAGGGTTTGAATATCAGAAAGCCCTGAGCAAACACACTGCTTGGCTTTCCTTACTTGGGGTACAGCTGGAATCTTGGGGCCACTTCACATCACTGTCTCACAATTCTGCCAGCTTTGGTCCCTTCCTCAGATGACAGTTTAATAGCTTCTGTGGGAAGAACAAAGCTAGAGGACAGACACTACTTACCTTCAAGAATTACTATAAAGCTACAGTAATCAAGATGTATGGTATTGGTGAAAAATAGACAAAGAGATCAAAGGAACAGAATAGAGCTTAAAAAAAAAAAACACAACAGAATAGAGCACCCAGAAACAGGCCCACATATACAGTCAATTGATCTTTCACAAAATAGTTAAAGAAATACAATGGAACAAAGGTAGTGTGTTTGACAAATGGTGCTAGAACAACTGGACATTCACAAGCAAACAAACAAAAAACAACAAAAAAGAGAATTTAAACACAGCTTACACCCTTCTGAAAATTAACTCAAAGTATCACGAACCTAAACATAAAGTGTGAAATTATAAGACTCCTTGAAAATAACACAGGAGAAAATCTAGATGACTTTGGATTTGATGATGACATTTAAGATACAACACCAAAAGCCATGATCAATGAAAGAGACTTGATAAAATTAAATTAATGATAAAATTAAAGATTTCTGTTCTGTGAGAGACACTGTCAAGAGAATGAGAAGATGAGCCATGGACTGGAAGAAAATATTTACAAAAGACACATCTGATAAAGATCTGTTGTCCAAAATATACAAAGACCTCTTAAAACTCAACAACAGGAAAACAAAAAAACCTGGTTAGAAAATGAGCCAGACCTTAACAGACACCTCACCAAAGAAGGTAGACAGATAGCAAATAGCATATGAGAAGACGCTCCACGTGATATGTCAGCAGGGGAATGCAAGTTAAAATAATGGTACCAAGACACACACATTAGAATGGCCAAAACCTGGAAAACTGACACCACCAAATTCTGGTGATAATGTGGAGCAACAGGAACCCACATTCACTGCTGGAGGGAATACAAAATGCTAACAGCTACTTTGGAAAACAGTTTAGCAGTTTCTTACAAAACTAAATATACTTTTACTCATAAGATCCAGTAATCACACTACTTGTTATCTACCCAAAAGGAGCTGAAAACATGTCTACAGAAAAATCTGCACACAGATGTTTATAGCAGCTTTCTTCATAATTGCTAAAACTTGGAAGCAACCGAGATGTCCTTCAGAAGGTGAAAGGATAAATAAATTGTGGTCCATCCAGACAATGGAATACTATTAGATGCTAAAAATATATGATCTATTAAGCCACAAAAAGACATGGAGGAAACTTAAATGTAAGTAAGTAAAAAAAAGCCAGTCTGAAAACGTGACATACTTGATGATTCCAGCTATATGACATTTCAGAAAGGGAGAAACTGTAGAGACAGTAAAACTGCCAGGGGTTAGGGAGAAGCATGGGAATGAATAGGCAGAACACAGGGGATTTATAGGGCAGTGAAACTACTCTGTATGATACTATAATGATTGATACATATCATTATACATTTGTCCAAACCCATAGAATGTATAACACCAAGAGTGAACCCTAATGTAAACTATGGACTTTGGATGATAATGACGTTTCAATGTAAGTTCATCAGTTGTAACAAATATTCTATTTTGATGCATAATGTTGATGATGGGGAGGCTATATATTTGTGGGGACAGAGAGATGGGAAATGTCTGTACCTTCTGCTCAATTTTGCTGTGAACCTAAAACTGCTCTGAAAAAATAATGTATATATATATTTGTATATATGTGTGTGTATCTGTGTGTGTGCACATACGTATGTGTATACATGAGCATGCATGTGTGCGCACGCGCGTACGTATGTGTATACACGAGTGTGCGTGTGTGTGTGTATGTGAGCGCATACGTATGTATATACATTAAGTGCGTGCGTGTGTGTATATATATATATATATATTTTTTTTTTTTAAGATGAAATAAAGCCTCTCCTCATTCTAGCCTAAAACATCTCCAAGTCCTAGGGAGCCCCTGTGACATTGTGAACATGCTTTGTTACATCACCAGCTTTTCATAAGATGCTCCTGCCTCTTTTGTGCTGTGACCAAACACTGACCTTCTACTGAGGACTTGGTTTCCTTTGCCACCCTGCTGGTCAGAGATGGGCTTAACTTTCAAACTTTCTATGAAAATGAAGTTCACAAGACCTCCTTGATATTGGTTACTGACATCCTCTTTCCTTACTTTTTTTTAAAACTGGGATTTCCTCCCAATTATACCATGACAAACTTCCCAGGGGCTTCTTTCCAACTGAATGCCTCTCAGGCTTTTTCCATCTGGTCCCCTGGTGGGGTGTAGCAGCATTAAATGATCTGGATTTCCCAAAGCCTAAGACTTCTGCCATCTGTGTTTGCAGGGGCCTCTGCTGGGCTGGCCATTCAAGTGGGGTGGCAATGGGTCTGCAGCACTTCCTCCTGCTTGCATCACGAGCTCACTGTATCACAGTGTACCATGAATGGGGATGGTGGGGAGGACAGATATGAATGATAATGAGGTGCGGAGGATTACTGGGGTCTTTAGAATGGCTCCATTGGTGGATAGAACTTTGTACACTCTCTCGATGCTCATGTGGCAGGTTGTATTTTCCACACATGGCCACAGTGATATCTTTTACCACATACACTTTTCTAGAATCTTGTACATCCCCATCAGGAGGTTGAATATATATCCCTTTCCTTTGGTCTCTGAAGGCTTTTGTGACAGCTGCAACTAATAGACTCTGGAGGAAGGGACATGATGAGTTAAGGATAAATCATACAATTGGCATGCATTCCTCCTTGGACATTTGCTTGTGGATCCCAGCTGCCACGCTGTGAGGAAGCCCAAGCACCAGCACCCTGAAGAGAGTTGAGGACCCTCAGCCCTGCCTGGGCTCCCAGAGGATGGTGAGTGCAACACCTCAAAAGTAATCTCTTCCCCCATACTGAGTTTCTCTGGCTGACACTGCATGGAGCAGAGATGGGCTACCCTACCATGCCCTGACAAAATGGCAGGTTCCTGAGAATGATAAATGGATGTCATTGGTTTTAGCAGGAATAACCTGGAGGGCTAATCTTTTACCTTGGCAAAACTTGTGCTTAACACCTAGATTGTATTTTAACCATGAAATTCATCTTATGTTTGCTGATTTTTTAAGCAATTGTGCTATCTGCCTCAAATACAAGCATTCCCCGAGGAAAATAGAAAGTTGAGACCACTTGGAGTGGTCTCAGACCACTGTCCAAATAGACAGAGAGACCACTTGGAGTAAGCCACCCAACAGGTAACAGCATGTTACAGGCAGCAGACTGATGCTCATTGGCTGGGAGGTGCAGAGGCTTGCACGTGCAGAGGCTTGCACTGTTCCACCTGCTGAGTGACCTGAGGATAAGCAGGCATTGGATGGAGGAGTACCCAGTGAAGGACCATGAGCCTGCCTAGGGCCCAGGTCCTCTGCTGCCTGTCCCCTCTGTAGGTTGATTCCTCCACAAATGGCCCCTAGACTTCTAAACCCCAAACAGCATCCTTGATGCCCACCCCCCCCACCGCCAACCTGCCAGCCACCATGTGCCTTTGGGTGGCCTCACTGCATTGCCCCTACCCTCCACTGGATGGCATCATTTGCAGGAATCCTATCTGAGACATGTTCCTCTCCAGGAAGCCCCCCTGCTCCCAAGCCAACTTGGCTGCCTTGCTTCCCCCTGTGTGGCTCTCCAGATGGACCCTGTACTTCCTGAGGACACTCTAAGCTGATTGGCCACATTGATGGCATTGGTTGGTTGGGGCAATGGGCACCGCCTGAGACATGACTCTGTCTGCTTGTGAGAGGTCCAGGGCTGCCCTTGAGGGAAGCTTCTCTAGAGATGGAGCCGGGGTGATCCTGTGGGGAGGTGAGGCTCCCGCTCTCCCCAGCCCGTGTCGTCCGGTGTCTGTGAAAGCAGGGTAGTCATCCCTTTCTCCAGGGTCAGCTCCTCTCTCAGGACCCTAACAGCCTTCCCCGAGAACCTATGAGCTTGTGTTTGCTGGGAAGAAGCCTGCCCAAGAAAATCCCCTTTTTCCTAAGATCTGCCTGGAGCCCCAAGATGAATCTATCACTTAGTGTCTGTAACTTCTCTGGAATTTGTAGTAAGTTGGGCTTTGACAAGCCACTTTTATTTCCACAAAGCTTAATTCAAGAAATGATGTTCCTTGATCAATCTGCACATCAATTTCCAGCCAGAGTGTGTTGTATAATTGCCTTTCTTAGGTCAGGCCGGCTGCAGCAGGAATTAGCCATTTTGAAACAAGATGTAAGAGGCTGCAGGTTTTTTTGTTTTTGTTTTTCCCTGTTGTTTGCCACATGTTTATTTATTTATTTTTTATTTTTTATTTAAATTTTTTTATTGTTATGTTAATCACCATACATTACTTCATTAGTTTTTGATGTAGTGTTCCATGATTAATTGTTTGTGCATAATACCCAGTGCTCCACGCAGAATGTGCCCTCTTTAATACCCATCACCAGGCTAACCCATCCCCCATACCCCTCCCCTCTAGAACCCTCAGTTTGTTTTTCAGAGTCCATCATTTCTCATGGTTCATCTCCCCCTCCGATTTACCCAGTTCATTCTTCCCCTCCTGCTATCTTCTTCTTCTTTTTTTTTTCTTAACATATACTGCATTATTTGTTTCAGAGGTACAGATCTGTGATTCAACAGTCTTGCACAATTCACAGCACTCACCATAGCACATACCCTCCCCAAAGTCTATTACCCAGCCACCTCATCCCTCCCACCCCCAAACACTCCAGCAACTCTCAGTTTGTTTCCTGAGATTAAGAATTCCTCATATCAGTGAGATCATATGATACATGTCTTTCTCTGATTGACTTATTTCACTCAGCATAACACCCTCCAGTTCCATCCACGTCGTTGCAAATGGCAAGATCTCATTCCTTTTGATGGCTGCATAATATTCCATTGTGTATATATACCACATCTTCTTTAGCCATTCATCTGTCAATGGACATCTTGGCTTTTTCCACAGTCTGGCTATTGTGGACATTGCTGCTATAAATATTGGGGTGCACGTACCCCTTCGGATCCCTACATTTGTATCTTTGGGGTAAATACCCAGTAGTGCAATTGCTGGATCGTATGGTAGCTCTATTTTCAACTTTTTGAGGAAACTCCATACTGTTTTCCAGAGTGGTTGCACCAGCTTGCATTCCCACCAAAGGTGTAGGAGGGTTCCCCTTTCTCCACATCCCCGCCAACATGTGTCCTTTCCTGACTTGTTAATTTTAGCCATTCTGATTGGTGTGACATGGTATCTCATGGAGGTTTTGATTTGGATTGCCCTGATGCCGAGCGATGTTGAGCACTTTTTCATGTGTCTGTTGGCCATTTGGATGTCTTCTTTGGAAAAATGTCTGTTCATGTCTTCTGCCCATTTCTTGATTGGATTATTTGTTCTTTTGGTGTTGAGTTTGATAAGTTCTTTATAGATTTTGGATACTAGCCCTTTATCTGATATGTCATTTGCAAATATGTTCTCCCATTCTGTCGGTTGTCTTTTGGTTTTGTGGACTGTTTCTTTTGCTGTGCAAAAGCTTTTTATCTTTTTTTTTT